CAAGCAGCAGCTCAGCTCCAATCTCCAGCGAGCCACACCGCACCGCCGAGGCACAAGAGATGCGCAAGAGTCGTTAGTAGCTATATCCTAATTTAAGCTAATCCTAGGCTATATTATCTTACTCCTGATAGTGATACTATTACTTTTATTAGTATTACTATTAGCTACTGATTGTATTACTATACTAGTATAATACTATTAAAAACACTACACAGTGCCGCATAGCGACGGCCGCTCATCTAAACGTCTACTGCGGTGACTCTTGGTGGAGTGGAGGGATTCTAGATAAACCCTGTTAGTCCCAAATGTGTTCACATACACGCCGAAACAGTGGAATGCACAGAGGATTGTAGTTCAGGAACCTTTTAAAAGAGGTTCGTTTGCGGAGATCTGTTATGAAGTTTTACCACGAGATGGGCGCGTACGTTTAAGTGTCTTCAGATTAAAGGATGGAAGCTCCATCATTCGTAGTAGCAACAACTATTGCAAGACAGAATGGTAAAAAAGCACTCATCATTTACCTACGCAAGCCTGACAGGCTGCAAATTGCAATAGAGAGGCTGCCCACTGCAAGCAATTAACGCAGGCCAAAACTGCAGCCACCAGTGGCATACGTACGTACATAGTAACATACTGAAGTACAGATGAATGAAATTGATACGATTATAAGGAACATACACCTTCTTATAACCAATTTAGCTGGTTGGAAATTTCACTGTGACATTGTAGCCTCATACATCCATGACATGTATAGGATTCTACTAGCAAACCGGCAGTCAAATTCTTTCTAACAGACAGGCAACAAAATCAAGTTAACCTCCTCTTGAGGGCAAAAGGGTTATCCGACTTACTCTTCGCATGGTCAGCGCAAAGGACATCTTCATTTGGTGCCTTCAACTAAGCCATAAAATGCCTAGGTCACCCTAAAACAAAAGTTTTATCAATCGCTCCGTCAGACCAGTGTCCTTAGAAAAACTTGTCTAAATCTGCCGTGCCCCATGAACTTTTGACCTGTGGACCTCCAATCTTCGGCCACCAGTGATGGCTTTTCCTACATATGCGATATACCGATCTTCACGAGACTAGGTCGAGCCGTTTAGATTTGGCCGCAATTCTGCAGTTTCCTCCCTATTACCTTTAAGTTACAGAGGAATGTTCCCCTTCTTTTACCAGCTCTTGACTTTGACTTTGACCCAGCTTGCGACATCCCAACTCGTTTTTGACGATACCCCCAACCGATCCCACATATCGAGACGTACAGTCTACGGTAAGATTTGTGCCCAACTGTTGACGAGACGACCGACCGGACGGACGACCGGACGGTACGACCGGACGGACCGGCACGGACGGCACGATCAAGCGATTCTACAAGCTGCATCTGCTATGTCAGATGAGCTAAACACGAATCAGCAATCTATATACCTGCGACAAGAACCAAGGCCACATAGATGGCGATGTATATCCAAAACACGTTATCGTGCCAATCTATCGGTTCTTCTTCTTCTACAAATATTTTCCCACTGCAATTTAAAGTAAAGTTATCTATAACTTGACAGGACGTATTGTTTACACTGGCGCCAGCCATGGCTACTATACTAAGCTAGCTATTTATTAAAACACTCGATGTTTGCACAAAATGTATAACAATTATTAATTAAAACAATTTTGATTATTACAAATATAGAAATAAAAATCAAGTTTTATAGCACAATTAATAGATGTTATAATAAACGTATGTAATATTTTTATTGAAATTAATAATCGAATAGTTTTTTACCTTTACTGCGGTTGTGTTTATTTATGAGCGCCCTCTATTATTTATTAGTGCAAAAAAGCGTTTCCGTTAGACTGGTACCCGTCCCTTTTTACAAGCCCCATATAGCTCCTATATCGAGCTTGTGAGAGGGGACAGGTACCCGTCTACGTACACGTAAGACGAGAGTACTCTATGAAGTGAAATTTGTTTCTCTAGTAATTTGACAACCTCAACGATTCTAATTATTTCTCTTAAAAGGTAAGTAGGCCTAGGCCTATCGCATCTTGTTTGGTGTACATTGATTAAGAGGGAAATTAAAGAACAATTTTCTCTATTGCGATGTTTGAAGGGTAGTTGATGATGATCAACGCAACACCCAACAGATTGTGTAAACACATTTATAATTATAGACAAATATAGTCATTACGACATTAGTGACATTACCGATTACGTCATTACTGACATTAGTAGGCCTAGGATATGCCATGTTGTTTGTGCTCATAATTCGATTTTGTTTATCGTGTTGATGATTTGATCGCATATAAATTCGATTTATCACACTATAACATTCGATTATCACATAATAATCTCGATTATCGCATATTATTTGATTCACGCATCGAATCATTGCGATTCACGCATGCGAATCATTCGAGGTGCATCATTTCGATGCGTAGAATCGAATGATCTCGAATGCGCGAATCGAATGATTCGATGCATACATTACGATTCACAGCGTATTCGAATATTTCGCATTCGGACGCAAAGGAATCATTCGATTCACGCATCAGAATAAGCATCGAATGATTCGATGCGTGAATCGAATGCATTCGATGCGTGAATCGATTGATTGATTGCGCTGATCGAATGATTCGATGACGTAATCGAATGATATTCGATGCATCATTCGATTCCGCATCGAAATCATTCGATTCAGCACCGCATCGGATATGACATTCACGATGCACCATCGAACATATCACGCATGAATGATGACATTCGAATGATTCGATGCGTGAATCGAATGATTCGAATGCGTGAATCGAATGATTCGAGCGTGAATCGAAATGATTCGATACCGTGAATACGGAATGATGCATCGTAATCATTCGATTTCAGCATCGATGATTCGATTCACGCATCGAATCATATCGATGCATCTTCGATGCGTGAATCGAATGATTCGATGCGCGAATCGAAGTGATTCGAGCATCAATTCGATTCACGCACTCGAATGAGTTCGATTCACGACATCCGAATCATTCGAATTCACGCATCGATGATGTCACATGAATCGATCATCGAATGACACTGAATTCGATAGTTGAATCTGACAATGATATCGAGTGCGTGAATCTAACTGATTCGCATGCCGGTGAATCGAATGAGTATCGAATGGCATCTATTCGATTCACGCATCGAATCATCTCGATTCCAGCCATCGAATGATGCATCGAATGATTTCGATGTCGTGAAATACGAATGATTCGATGCGCTGAATGATGATTCGATCCCCGGTGAATCGAATGATGCTCGAATCATTTCGACTTCACGCATCGGAATGATGTCGATTCACGCATCGAAGTGATGCATCGAATTATATCGATTCACAGCATCGAATGATGCATCGACATCATTTCGATTCCGCATCGAATGAATTTGAATCAGACATATGAAACAGAATACAGCACCATATTACGGACGGCGCAATCCTAGTTTGGGACCCCGGTTCCGTCTGATTTTCGCAAATATGGAGATAACGACATTTAAATCTACAAAGTTCTTCAGGTTCTTGCCTAGTAGTAGTACCCCGTACTACTACTAGTACTACTAGTACTAGTATTCATTTCTACTAATATTATTATTATTAATAAACATTTCCTGCAGTGCACTATCCACAGCAAGTCGGAAAACGGCTCTGAACTGAGGCTATTCACCTGTCTTGGGCAATTTGTGCTGATACTGATGGGGTCTATGTCCCCAGGGTATTGCCGGAACGTACCCTGGTAACTATGTGATTGCTCTAGTACTTATAGCCCGCGGATCGCTGCCAGCGAGGGCTATAGCACATTCTGCCAGTAAGATGTAATCTAAGCAAATGGTCCCAACTGATGTGACCAACAAATTTATCCCAAAAGCGTAAAATGATCGGTGCTTTTTAACCTTCATCTATCAACATGGAATCTCCACCTATTTTTTTGAACACTTCCAATCAGACTTTACACGCAGGTATTTATGCTGTTATGTTCCTCAACAGTCTAGCAATGAAGAGTCAAGCGTCACAACATAACAAGAGCAACCGCATTTGAAAACAAAACACCAGTAGTGCTAAGACTTTGAGCAATAGACAGCATAAATACCATGGTGTTAAAAGTTGTGACAGTGTTTCAAAAAGATAGGTGAGATGTCCATGTGTAGATAAGTGCTTAACAAGCCCGATCCATGTTGTAGCGTTTTGGGGATAAATTTTGGTCACATCAGTTGGACCATTTGCTTAGATTACATCTAGTGGCAGAATGTGCTTATAGGCCCTGCCGCAGCGTTCCGCGGGCTATAGTACTAGTAGCTACTATGCTGATATGCCGGGACCGTACCTCGCTTATCTCACCGTCCCTGACTGTCCCTGTTCGCCCACTAACGATGCTTGCTCGCCCAATTGTGCAAGAAATATACGATACAGACGCTGTATGATATCTTTATAAATTGGATTTGGAGTAATGAAAACTGTGAACCAAGGAGAAATTTCAACCTATAATACACTGATGCGCGCTCTCTTTTACAAATATCGCTGATGCTGGGAATGGCGTATTCTTTTCGGCAAGTGTTTACGACATTTTGACATTTCTCGCGCCAGAGATTTTTGAAAGATGGCTCCCAAGGTTGTGAGTGGGACACAGGAAAACTTTGTATGAATTATCTAATGGGTCTGGAAACGTATAGACTCCGCTGACATTGTAGCAAAGGGTGCGTGCGAGGTGAAACATAACAGGGTAAGGGTTACGAATACTTTTGCCGGGAACGGACGGGAAAACAAGGAACGGGATCATACAGCGGCGGTCGTTTCCTGCGACAACGGCGGTAGTATTACGACATCGGCTGAAGGTCAAGAAGTACCGGTTGAAGTAGGTGAGTAGAGGTACGGTCCGGCTATTTAGTATCTACAGGGTACGTTCTGGACGTACCCTGGGGACATAGACCCACGTATTTCTGTGTGCATGAAGTAACATACAACTCAGAGAAGTAGCATAGTAGCTTTCTGATGAACTAAAAATTTCCTAACTCTAGTCGTATAGCATTGTTGTTAGATTGTTAAGAGTATAGGCTTAATTACGTGGAGAATTATCTTATGCAGCACTATCTGGGACCAACTAGTGCATAAGATCTTAGGGTAGTAAGCTGTGTGCAGGTTGACAACCTTGTTGTCACTATATCCTGTGTAGGGGACACCGATAAGTGTTGGAACGTAACATAAATAACATAACATAAAATTATTTTTTTTACAACTACATCCGCATTCACAAACACACATACGTAATTTTTAGCTCACCTTGACATCGTCAAGATGAGCTATTGCCAATGGGTCGTCGTACGTCCGTCCGTCCCGTCTGTGCGTCTGTGCGTCCGTCGTCCGTCCGTCCGTCCATTCGTCTGTGCGTCCGTCCGTCCGTCCGTCAACATTTGGCTACGGTCAATGATAACTCAGGAACCGTTTGACCCACATGTTTGAAATTGGGTTATAGTTGTTACTGCTATGCCGCCCATATTGAACGTCCTATTTTGGAGCACGCCAGTCGACGTACTTCGAGGCCACTGCAATTTTTTGGCAAAAATAGGAATTTGCCATTAGTCAGTTCAGGTTCACGGATTTGCTCATTTTATGGTAGTATGTGAATGAATAAGGGACAGGGGTTTTGATATTTAAAAAATATATGCAAAATTAGGTAGGTTTTGGCAATTATATAGCATATTATGTTATAGACACGCAGATAACAGTCTGTGGTGTCACACTCATCTGTGTTTGTTTTACAAGATTTCATTGACAATATCTTTAATGCAAAATTGGTATTTTTCTCACCCTGCAATAAAAAGTCTATATTAGAGTAAAGTTTTACAAAACATGTCGGAACGCACCATAACCTATTTATTTCGAACACCATTGCTAAGAGACATCAAAGCGAGTATAGCGCCATCTACCGTCACAAATTGTGATTCATTTTGGTTTTAATTATTATTGTGATACACAGATGGCAACCGTGTGCTACGCCTAGAAAAACTCATACAAAGTAAAACTTCCATGACCAATTACTTTGACAAAAGTTGTTGTTATGGGCAGGGAAACACCATTGTCACGTGGTAATTATAGCAGCTACGTGGAATAAGCGTATCCTCTCAATCTTACATGTTACACATCGGGAGCTCCGTTTTTAGGCAGTGCCTAAATCTGAATATTATGAAAACATTAAATGGCGATCATTTAGGTGTAACGCCATCACTCACGCACATCTCAGACTTTCACATCTCAAACATTATTTTCACATAAAAAATTACAAATAATTATCAAGAGTATATAATGGGAGTTCTCTATATACTCTTCGTTTCTATAATGTACGTCGATGGTTGCTCAATTAAAACTGACTTCTTCTCACTCACTCATTTGTAGGGGTGAGTATTGCGACCAAAACCGTATTGGCAATATATTTGCATACTGGACAAAACCGTATTGCAATATTTTCCAATACGTATTGGGAAGTATATACCATGCATGATATAGTTTAACAATTTGATGGTTTTAATATCTCATATATTGTATTATATGACATGATTTAATTTCTCATGTTTTTCTTGAGAAACAGAGCACGCAATGTTTTCTGCTGACAGTGCAGCCTCTGCTGCCGTAACAATGCACCCGCTGTACTGAATCCACTCTCGGAACGGCACCTGACGTAGCTGAATACACAAATACCCCTGCTGCATAATTGGCTAATACTGGAACTGAACGAAACTGAAACTGAAACGTGGGTGCTCGCTTCAGCTTGTATCGCGCCACAGCGCGCGGGCACTCAGGTGAGCATAGGCTATATATAGACTCCTAGTTGCCCAGTCTCTGTGCCTCGCGCACACCGTCTGCCCACTCTGCCCGCGCATTAGTACGCCCGCAGTGCTCCATGCAGTGGCCGCTTACCAGTAATACGTGTATGCGTCGTGCACGCATTGTGCTTTAGTAATTATATACCGCCAGTGCCATAAATTTCGGAGCATTTAACAATATAGACATCAAGGCGTGTCAAGTAATTTTATTTCTTGTTATACCACCGTATCGTAAAATTATCGATATCGCGAAAGTTGTACGGCGCAATATATTCGAGTTTTCAAAATAGATTGACAAACTATAACCGACCGATATACCGGTATATCGTTACACCCCTACTCATTTGTGTCCTTTTTTGTGGTGAGCTACAGTGTCATTGACACTTTCATTTATTATTATTATTATTCATGCCATCAGCAGGCAGATCCGATGGATGCAATGCAATCTTCTCTGATAAAGACAAACTGACATCAGCAGGCAACTCTCGACATCAGACATGGATCCTATAGAAGTAACACCTGTGAGCAGTGAGGAGAGTGCAACTCCCACGTCAGAGAGAGCAAAGTCCAAGGTTTGTCTTTTCATATACCACATAAATGAAGATTTCAAACAGATCTATGCAACTCTGATGTCTATTAATTTAGATATATGGCATGTATATTTAACCCTGATTGAGCCACATACAGCTTTTGGCCATAGCCACTAATTCCAAATTATTGCACGGAAGAGATGTATCGAAAGCCATAGGTTATTTATTGTATTGATAGTCACAAGAGTGCACATTATTTAGATATTACTGACACTTCAGCAAGTATTGCATGTGTCAACTTTTTTCATTCGCCATTTCAGTTGGACTTGCTACCAAAAGAAGAATTGATCAAATATGTGAGGAAACAGATGTTAATGCTAAAAGAAGCAAAGATGAAATATCAGAGTATGTGATTTCACCTTCTAAGGGTTAAACAACTGTTTTATTTATTAATAAACGAGCTGCGCTGCAGCTACAGGCCAGGGGCCCGTTGTCAGAAACATCATAAAGTTAATGCTAATATTAATGCTAAGATAACACTTACGACTAATGTTAATGATACGAGAGTAGCGTTGACAGAAACACATCGTAGCTACGAGCAAACTCACGATAACAGGAACTTCATAATTTCATGTCACAAGGCTGCTGATTGGATGAGAATCGATCACAAAATTCAAATTCATGCACATTTATTGTACATCACAGTAATTTATGCATATTATGATGGCTAACCACATATAAATATTATTTGATGAAAAACGACATGGTCATGAATTTATTCTGCACAACAAGACAAATTCTCACACTAGCGCGAGACGCGAGAGTTGTGGCAAGCGTGGCAAACCTTTGAAACAAGAGAACAAATGCCATACGCCATTTGTAAATGTATTGTTCTGTATATGAACGGTAGATAATTAATGTTTTCGACTTGTTTTTCAAGAAAAACACATTTTACTCATTAATATAAAATATACTATCACTGTAATTGTAATTCTGAGTGTAACTGTATTATTTTTATCCTAATATTAAAGTTACGAGAGGGTCTGGGCTCTCGTAATGTTCGGAGGAAATTTCCGAGGATTTTTCATTCTCGTAACTTTGCGATGTTTCTGTCAACGGTTTTCGAGTGGAAGTTAATTTTAATGCAAATGTTAAGACTAATTTTGTTTCTGACAACGGGCCCCAGAATAATGCCCCGCATGAGAGCCGAAACAAATTCCCTGAAGATGGAGCCACGATGTCGTACGATTGACAAACATGCTGTAGGACTGGTACGCACGCGGTAGGTGTGTGTGGATGCGGGCGCATGCACTAGTGATACGAGTGTACAGGGTTATGGCGCATGCACCAGTCTCGACCAATCACGACCAAGTACATCACAGTAGCAGCAGCAGCAGCAAACTCCACGACAGATGGCGCTCTCGCACTGGCTCAATTCACCACTGCCAAAAGTAGATTTTCCGTTACAATTTGTAACGCTTTTTTTACCACAAGTTTTACAGTGTTTTACAGCGGCCAGGTTACTCGTATCCTATGTAATAAGATTTGTACTAATAAAAGTTGCAAAGATATTAAAAATCCGACCATTATTTTATGAGAAATTTGACAAAATAGTGATACGAAATAGTGCGCGTATTGTGCGCCCATTTACTACTTTCAAATCATTACGCTGTTTACTAAACTAAGTTCACGTGTTTATTTAATATTTATCATTAATTTTTCAGACGCTTGCCAATATACCTAATTCTCGAACATTGTCTTTGATACATTTTTGCGTATTCACTATTCAGCTTAAAACATCTAAATTTGTCCACCAACAAACATGCAAATCATGGAAATTTCTAATGTTTTGTTCAGCGGTGACTTTGCGGCTGTTGGATTGCCATTTGCTGGATATCCCCGGAGCTCCACCCACTTGAAAAATAGTACCAGCCTTGTGGCAGTGGTATCCTGAGTTGTACGAAGGGGCGCTGCATGCAGTTTGAAGCAGCAGTAGGACAAGCGCCAAATATATAAATAGAAGGAACAGATATGCATTATAAATAGATCAGTTTAATTTTACCCTAAATTTCAAAACAGTTATACTTAATGATTTTTACAGGCTTGACAGAGGATGTTCAGAGTTTAAAGAATGCCAACTCAACTTTACAGGAAAAAGAAAATGAACTTAAAGTAAGCCCAAATCTAAAGTATTTAGATGCTCTGTATGCTATTTGCTAATTTGTCGGATTCATAGTATTTTGTTTAATTGAATGTTTTTTTACATTTGTGTCTGCAACATTTTAATAACAACATAAATGGTCATTTGTCAGTTTGCTTTGACTAAAATAGTCAATAATTTGTTATTCTTTTTGAAGAAGTTAAACGAAACAATGCTGGAAATGACCACAGTCAAGGAAATCCAGGATGAAAATGCTAAGTCTCTGACTATAGAAAATCGAGTAGGTGAATTTTCCATTTTTTGCAATTATTGTATTTGCAATATTTGAAATGTGAGGAAACATATTAAACGTACATGTTGAGATATCAAGTGATAATTTCCCATTCATCAGAAGCTTAGTGAACAACTGGAGTGCATGACAATGAAAGCAGAAACACTGATGACGTCATTCCAAGCTTTAAATGAGGACCAAGTCAAGGTGGAACAAAATAATCAGGTTAGAGCAATATATAGAGTATTATAATAATTATAAAGTAAATTATATAGAAATATATAGGTTAGAACATTAAACATATGTTAATATGATTATAAATTAACATTTAATAAACATGTCACTCAACATATGCAACCCATTGCTCCTCGCTGTTTTAAAATTTGAACCAATACTTGCGAACTAGCCAAGGTAGTTATTTTTATCCCCCAGTGAAGAATGTTATCCAATGTTCACCTTATATAGTATATCTGAAGGTGTGTTTGAGGTTTTGTTTACATAAACGTACAAATACATTACTTAGTTGGAAGGGCTAGGGTGCACAATTTGTTCGTAGTTAGTATTTGCATACTCTGGATATTTTACAACAGTTCTTTATTTAGTTGTAATTTATTGCGCTGTAAAATCGTTTTCTAATTATATTCGTCAGTCATCGAAAAATATAATGAAATTGACATCGCTGTTCATTTATTACATTTAGAGGAAGCGGCGTGCAGCAGTGCTTGCTTGATGACTCGTATAACTGATAAATATGCTATTTTTACTATTTGTGTTGACCATTTTACAGGTTCTAAGAGAAGATATTGATGTCATGACCAAAGCCAGGAATGAAGCCCTTGACACCTTGAAGACAGTGAAAAAGCAGCACTCTGCCAAACTGTCTGAGCTAAAGGTTCAGCTAGAGCAGCAAATTTCGGAGAGGTCCGCTCAGACTGAAGAAAATACCATCCTGAAACAGAAGCTTCAGGTACAGATTCTCGTACAGCGTATACAAGATGCTATTCCGATAGTAAGATGTGGTTGTGTCGTTATTGCCTGTCATTTTTATGTAGTGAAATGAAGACCAACCCCTGTAAACATTTCCTTTAGCTTAAAACATAATCCATGTGATCACATGTATAATAAGGTAAGACAGTGCGATTGAGAAGTATTTAGATTCGTTTTCCTGTTCACTTGGAATTTGTTCACCATGACCTTACTGTACATGTAACAGGTACATTTAGAGCATCTTTTTCTGCATCATTGTATTCAAACTGCTGTGGGATAATAAAGACCTTTCATGTTTTCTCTGCGGTGGTAAATAAGTCCTCAAATAATAAAAACCTCTTCTTGCTGTTTAAGGAGGCAAACTTGAAAAATAATGAGCTAATATTGGATAACCAGTCAAGCCAGCAAGCTGTCCAACAAGTTGAAGCGGATGTGGGTGCAGACCTGAGAGGGGCAAAAATGGAGTTGCTGCAATCCCTCCATGAGCTTCTTCGAGTGCGGAGGGAGGAAGAGACGCACGGTGAGAGCATCAGGAGGCTAGAGAGAGAGACCAGCGAGAAAGACATTGAAATTGAAAGGATGCAGTTGGAGGCAGACGCATTAACAACAGAGTTGCAAGCATTGAAATGGGCGAGAACGGAAGAACGGAGCGCAGTTTCCCTTGAACTAAACAACGAGGTAATGGAAGCCAATCAGAATGTCACTGACCTGACGGCCTCGCTGGCCAAAATGAAGGCTGTCGTCGTAGAGCTACAAGGAAACTGTGCTGAATTCGAGAGCTCGAATCAGGCATTAATGACCGAGAAGGAAACCCTGCAGCATAAGATTGAAGAAGCTATAAAAGAAAACGAGTTGCTCCATGAGCAGAAAGATGAGGTTGATGGCTCAGGAACCGACGTGGTAGCAGAATTGCACCACGAAAAGGAGGCCATATTAAAGCAGAAAGATGCCTTGATTTCTGAATATAATTTACTGTGTGATAAACTAAAGGCATGTGCTGACATTAACAGTGACCTGGAAACTAAGGTGAAGTGCTATGAAGAGCAGGTAGCAACACTGAGTAGCCAGCAGGAGAGTCATCAGTCTGAGAAGTGTGAAGTTGAGTCTAACCTGAGCAGTTTAGGAGATGCTCTTGGCGAGAGCAAGAGCATATGTGAAAAGCTCAGCAGTGATAACAAGTCACTCACTACGACTGTTGGAGAACTAGAGGAAAGAAACCAGAGTTTAGAGACTCACCTTACAGAAGTTTCAGCTGAGTTAGAAACGTATAGGAGACAGGTCCAGGAACTGTCTGCCACTTCAGAGACTGTGACCAATGATGTTGAAAATAGACTTGGTGAAATGCAAGCCAGAATCCATGAGCTAGAAGCTGAACAATGTAAGAAGCTCATGTTAGAATCTGAAGTGCAAAACCTTCAAGAATTGCATAACACATTTGAAGATGAAAAGGCTATCATGAGTTCTCAAATTCATCAGTATCAAGAATCGCTTGTGACACTTGAAAATGAAAAATCTACTATCGAAGCCCAAATCCAAAGTCAAGAACAAGAAATGCAAGGTCTTCATGAGCAGGTAGTAACACTGAGTAGCCAGCAGGAGAGTCATCAGTCTGAGAAGTGTGAAGTTGAGTCTAACCTGACCAGTTTAGGAGATGCCCTTGGCGAGAGCAGGAGCATATGTGAAAAGGTGAGCAGTGACAACAAGTCACTCACTACGACTGTAGGAGAACTAGAGGAAAGAAACCAGAGTTTAGAGACTCACCTTCAAGAAGTTTCAGCTCAGTTAGAAACATCTCGCAGACAGGTCCAGGAACTGTCTGACACCTCCGAGAGTGTGACCAATGATGTTGAAAACAGAGTTGTAGAATTGCAAGCGCAAATCCATGAGCTGGAATCTGAAGTCCAAAATCTACGAGAATTGCAGAAAACTTTTGAAAATGAAAAGACCATCTCTAGCTTCCAAATTCAAAGCTATAAAGAATCGTGTGAGGTTCTTGAAAATGAGAAAGTTAATTTAGAATCCCAAATCCAGTGTCTCCAAGACTGTAATGAAACTCTTGAAAATGAGAGAGTTACTTTTGAATCCAAAATCCAGTATCTCCACGATTTACAAAAAACTCTAAACGATGAGAAAGAAGTCTTAGAATCAGACATTCGAAGTATTCAGGAGTCATGTAAAGCTCTTGAGGATGAGAATTCTGTCTTGCAAGCAAGCATCAAGAGTTCGCAAGAGTCAATTTCATCTCTGGAAGATACAAAAGCCGCCTTGGAATCAGAAATCCAAAACCTTCATGAATCACACGAAGCTCTTGAAAACACGAGCAGTGCAGCTGCAGACAAACTAGCTGCACTGCAAGAGCAACTAGACCTTCTGACAAAGTCAAATGGGGAACTTGCAGAGAGATTGCATGAATCTGAAGCCGATATTACCAGCCGTGCTGACGAAAATGCACGTTTGCTCGAGGCTGCATGTTCTGACAGGGTTGTGTACGAAAGGAAGGAGCAAACTGCAGCTGAGATGAACGAGCAGCTGAGTGCAGAGCTTCACGCTTCTCGTGCGGAGACTGCCTGCCTCAATGAGGTGGTAGCTGAGCTCAAGGCATCCTGTCCCGTGCCGGATGCACGGCAAGATACCGTCACAGATGCACTTGACAACTCTTCGCTCGCGGAGGAGACTGAGAGGGTAACGCTTCTGGCAGAGGATGCAGGGTCCAAAGAGGCTAGCGGCCTGTTGCAGGATGCTGTGCCTGCACAGAGTGAGCCAGACGATCAAGAAAAGGTGAATTGTTTTTTGAGACTATTGGTTTTTTATTTACTGGTATATTTTCTACTTTTAATTGTAATAACAGTCTACTAAACGTAGTCTCTTTGCTGCCTCTGAGATTTTCCCCATGGATTTTCGCAAATCTCTTGCAAACTGTCCAACATGGACATGGAATCTGTGTATGTTACCATGCCTGTCTGATCTAAGCTGTCTTCTTCTGCCATCTGGAGTGTGCTGATGTACTTGAGGATGTTGCGTAAAGACACGCGTATCGTACTTTTACTGTTTTATCCTTTCAGGAAGGACTCGCTGTTGCACTAAAGGAAACTGAGGAGAAAATGGCCAAGTTTAAAATGTTGGCTATAAAGGCTAAGAGGGAGCTGGCAGCTGTCAAGAAACAGGTTCGTTTAGTATTGACTCCTGGATATTCCTGAGTTACAGCTTCTAACGGTTTCCAGAATCTTTCCTCTGGGGTCATATATATGGCCAGCTAACATGGAAAATTATTAGTGTGGCTATATCCCCTCTAGATGTCTAGCGTTATATGCTTGTATATTTCGACTGGCTATATGCACTAATTCTCAGCTACTATGTACTCTTTGACAGCTTGAGGTGAGAACAGCAGAGAAGGCAAGCATCCAACAGCAGTTGAAGGAAGTCATTGCTAGTTCGGAATCAATCAGGTCTCGGCTGCAACAGAGCATGGAACATTGCCAGGTAATTCCTTGATCGACTTCTAGCTATCTCTAGTGTCGTGGCTGCGGCATTATGCAAACAGCTGAATTCTCTCACTGTGTTTTATATACAGCTCATATTTGTAACAAACCCTGTACTCTTTATTATCTCACTCGTCGTGTGTGTCTTATTTCTCGGGCAGAGCTTACAGAGAAAGAATGACGAGCTAGAAGACAGACTAGAGGCGAGCAGTGAGCAAATGCTAGTTGCCACTAAGGACCTTACTGTCACCGTGCAAGAGCTGGCTACCGTGAAACAGCAGTATGCTGAGATTCGCTCTGATAAGGAGAGGGTGTCGGGTCTCCTTGACAGTCTGGCTATCGAGAAAAAGGTAACTAGTTAGGCGAGAAACTCACTGTTAATCAATTTCAAATAATAGTAATAATAATAATAATGATAATAGTAATAATAATACATAATTATAGAAATAAGCATGACAGTATGGCATAGCATCTCAGGTCTGCATGGCAGCATGGCATGTCTGAAATCTGAAATTTCTGAAATTTTTGCTTGGTTAAAGAAGGCAGTGGTAGTATCTGTCCCCCACTGTTTTTGAATCTGTTATTGTAAATCTGTCGATCACAGGATGCTGAGGCAAAGTTCCTGATTGCTGACGACCAGAGGCAGCAGGCAAGCATAAAAAGGGAGGAAGCCCAACGACAGCTAGAGGCAGCATTGGCAAAGTCAGCTAAATTGGAGGAGGAGCTTGCTTGCAAGAAGGTGGAATTCAGAGAGAAGCTGCTGTCTGCCGTGAAGGTACATTGTCAGTGACAGAAGCCGTAATGGTCCAGTAATGACAATGTTAATTTCATTGTAAATGATAAAAAGGCGTGACAAAAACAATGAGAGGATCTTAATTTTCTAGTATTTCTAATATTTTCTAGTAATTTGATAGTAATTTTTAATGGTTAGAAATTTTCTATCAATTATATTCTACTATATTTGATGTCTTCGTATTAATTTTATTCATCCACTCATCCAATTCATTCATATTAGTTGTTTTTTTTCTGAATCATTCCTTGTCATTTACATTTATTACCTGTTTACGGCTGCAGGAAGCGAAGGAGAGCAGTGTCATGGACCTAGAAATAGCTGATTACGAGCGCACCATCGCAGCTCTGCAGGCCAAGCATGCAGAGAAGGATGCGCAGATCCAGGAGCTTAACTGCCAGAGTGAAACCGCCCAATGTAGGGTGCAGGCACTCCAGGAGCAACTTGGTATGTCTCACATCAAGAATCAGTCATTCAGCCAAGTTAGTAGACTTCTCACGACCAGTCTTCCAACTATGATGTAAAATAATATTAGCAATCATTCCTCCAAAGTTAATAAGTTTATCCCAGCAATTTCTCTATCAATGAGGTAGACTTGTATCAACCTGCCTTCCACCTATAAGTGAAATTTGTTGTTATGTGTCGTGTTTCATGGACCCTCAAAAACCCCTGGCTTTGCTAAAAAAAATTACAACCAAGATTCAGAAGGCAAAATTTAGTTATTTTTAAACTATGCCTCCGTCTTCTTAACTTGGCTCGATTGTTTGCATGGATGCTACTCCGGTTTCCTTTCCTACTGTCCTCACTGTAATCCTTCACATTGCAACTCAGATGAGGTGGATAGGCAGAGAAGCCAGGCAGATGAGCGTGGGGACAAGTTAAAAGAGAAGCTGGCAAACGTCAAACAGGAGCTCGCTCAGTCGAGACAGATCGAGGCAGACCTGAAGATTGGAGAGGCCAGCCTGAAAGCGAGGATAGAAACACTCGTGCAGGAATGCGAAGACTACAAGGTGAGCTCAGCTATCTTTACTTGTCATCACTTCTGTAAATTTCTCCATCAGCCAACTTTGCAGTGATCTGCTCGGATTGTAGGAAATATTTTTCCACTTCTAACAAATAGGATGTTCTGACTTGCAGTCTTATAAAACAGTGACTTTTGGCCTAGTCTCATTCTCATCTCTGTCAATCAGAGTGCAGTGTTGTATGTTGTGCAACCAAGACTGCATAATAACGTACATGTGCCATGCAAGACCTGTTTTAAGTATTATTCTTTAATAAAAATTTGGTGCACATCTTTCCAGTAGGTGGTGTAATATGTCAATCGAAATGTGTAAATAGGGCATTCCACCTTTGAGATCATTGCTGTGGTGGCTTATAAATGGAGCTGCTTGTAGCACTGTGGCCAATTAAGATTTGTGAAAGTAAGCACTGATGAAATAATGCGGCTTCGTTTACTCGCAGATGCAAAATTCAGAGCTGACGAGTAACAAGCTAAAAGCCGAAGAGCTACTGCAGAGTTTAGGGGACAGCCACCAGAGGGCGGTTCGTTCACTAGAAAATCAGATAGTTGCACTTCAGGAGGACGTACAGCAGTCGCGTTTAGAGCTGAGCACATGCCAGGCAGAATACGACGGATACAAGGTACTTTGCTATGAAAAGCATTGAACAGCACATGTAACGCGCAATACCCAATTTCCTCTGGGGGAAAAAAACAGAAAAATATCAGTAATACGTGTGGATTTCCACCCAGGTGCGCGTCCACAGTGTGCTGAAGCAGCAGAAGACAAAGCCGCCCTCGAGCAGCATCCCAGCCCCCACGGCAGATGTCGCGCGCATGGAGAAGGCGATCGAGCAGCTTAGAGGGCGCTGTGAGCATCTCGGCGAGCAGCTGGCAGCAGCTCAGAGGGACGGTCAGCTGCTGCAGGAGGAGCGGGAGCGGCTGATCGCACGCAACGCTCGCGCAATGGACGACATGCAGGAGAGAGAGCGCTTCTGGAAGGAGAGGTGCACGATTTTGGCCGACGTAGGCGCGATGATCTGAATTGCCAATCGATTTTCGGAGGGTTTGGGGATCAAATTCGAATTCAGAAAAGGCTTTATGAATTAGGAAAGTGTTGGCCTGCTCTTGGTAATTTTAAAGTGTGAAAACGAGTGAGGGGATGTGGTGCAGTAGGTATGAAGTAATTATAACACTTCAGAAGACACAGTAGGATTTTACAAACTTGAAAAGCAGGAGATGCCATGGAGGCAATAACCGAAAATTTACATTCATAATACCATGAAGCTTTGTATACTAGATAGTATACATAGGTTTATGGTAATACACCTACGGGTAATTCACTGTTACCACTATAAAACTGTTTACCACAACAAACCACAATGCAAATGTCTGGTAATATATTGCTGCACAAATGGGGGGGGGCCATTTTAGATAAAAACAGCTGTTTTATTTGTATTAGTAGAAATTGGATGCTGGTCATGGATCTTGTAGGTACGATTGTAAGCAAGATGTATACTAGTATGTTAATTAAGAACCTTTTTTCGTATTGTTAGAGTTGAGAGGCTGAGGCAGGAGGCTAGCATGAAGGAGGATGAATTGTCACAGAAAATCATGCAGGTCACTGCCCAGAAGGACAACATTGTGCAGAGCTTCAAAGTAAGTCAAAGGCAATCAGAATGCAGAATTTTTTTAATCTTTACCTAGTCATTCTTGTGGTTTAGAAGCAAAACGTTAAGAAGACCAGCGGTAGGACAGCGATAAAAGAAATAAAAAAAGGATTAAATATGGAACTAGTTGTGCCACAATTGAAGTGCTCAGGATAACATGACTGATTCAACAACCTTGTCTGATATTGTCACCAGGATCGGTTGGAATCAATGCAGACGCAACATCAGGGTTTGCTGGACTTGCTACATAGCCAGCTAGAAGACAAGGATAATGAGATTATCCGATACCAAGTGGAATTGCAGTCGAGCAGCATGAAGCAGCAGGTGTGCCATCATAAACCTTGATGCAGGCTGTACTTGCAGACTTCATTTAGAACCCTTATCACAGTGTGTATCATGTCTGTTGTCATTCCTTCACATTGATCCGTAAGCATGTTGATTATGTTGATCCGTTGATTACAGCTTGTGATGTCCCGATGATCGATTATAATCGAAAGTCAGTCGTTTGCAGCAACTGACTAAGTACTCGATTATAAAAATAATTAATCAATTATCAAAAAAAAAAAATTTAATTAATTTCAAAGAAAATTTGCAAACATTGATGAAATGACTCTTTTTTTTATTTTTGTGCGTATTTTGGTTACTTTACTACTTGGAGACAATAAGTAAATCTAACCTACACCAAACATAAGCAACTATAATACTGCAACATAGCTTTTAGAATATTGTATTATAAAAAATACTGTATTATATGATATATATTTTTAGCTCAGCTGACAAAGTCGGATGCAGCTTGTAGAATCGCATGATTGTCCGTCCGTGCGTCCATTCGTCAACAGTTGGGCACAAATCTTAACCGCTCGACGTACGGTCTTGATATTCGCGACATTGGGGGGGATCGCGAAAAGGACTCAGGATGTCGAATTTGGGGGTCAAGGGTCAAAGGTTAAGATGTGTCAATGGAGGGGGGATATTTCCCCTTTAACTTAAGGTATAGCAGGAAATACGGAATTGCGGCACAAATCTCAACGGCTTGACCTACGCTCTTAATATTTGATGTATATTGTGATGAGGAGGAAACCCATCACCAGCGCGAAATTGGAGGTCACAGGTCAAAAGGCAGTGGGAAGGTCAGATATCAGACATGGTCTAATGGACCGAGTGCAAAACATTTTTGTTTCAGCGCTGACCTACCGTTTTTATCACTTTATTGAAAGGACCATGAAATCTATTTTCCGGCTGACTGCGAAGAGTAAGTGTTTGATAACCTTTTGACCCTCAGAGGAGGGTTAAACATGGATTTGTTGACTTGTTAACAAAGGACTGAACTGCTTTTGCTATTAAAGTGCCCTCCACCCACCTCCTACCCCCTCCCCCTCCCCCTACCTCTACCCCCTTCCCCACCCCTCCCCACCACCACCACTACGCTCACGCGCTCGACGCATATCTATGATAACATGTTAATATAGCGAAGTCATTAAAGTTACACAGCTGTAGCTTTATTACTGTGACTACGGTATAGCAAAGCCTATCATAGATTTTAGATCTGTATTAGTAGTATCCTAGATATATGCTCTGAGCGCCAACGTGGTGGCAGGAGGGCGCACTTGATTCGGTTGCCAGTGAGTTTATCAGAAGAATACCTGGCTACAGTACAGGTCAGTTGAGCGCTGTCGCTCTGCGGCACTTGTTTAATATCTGGTAGCTGCAATCAATAACATTTAACTGATTATCTTCAATCATCGATCGGTTGAGTGCAACCAATGATCGATGATGAAATTCCAACCGATTCCCATCACTATTTATAGCAGTATATGTAGACTTCTATTTGTAACAGTTATCCCATCTCTTTTATCTCTGTCTTTACATTGCTGTATACAGGTGCTGTTTGTGTCTTTGCCACACGTCCCAACTGACATCTTTAAATATAGGTGAAAGCTGAACCTACCAAGGCAGCAAGGACAGAGAGTGTTTCTCCCTTCGAACCGTTTTCGATTAGGCGACTTGAAGAAAGGCAACAAGCGGAGGTGAGCAATCATTCGTTCTTGTCTGATTCTCGTATTGTGACATTAAAGGGATACTTCCCCCTAGAATTTTAGAGTATATTATGATAGTAAATGCATAAATAATAGCATAGTCAGACATTAAAGGGATACTTTCCCCTAGAATTTTAGAGTATATTATGATAGTAAATGCATAAATAATAGCATAGTCCTACAATTTTCTGTAATCATGCATTCACGTTTGTCATAAAACAACATTGAATTTCAAAATCTTCATAAATAATTAATAAATAAGAAACACCCTCGGTCTGTAGCCTGTAGCCGAAACGTTGCTTTGTGCAACTTTTTCTGTGAATGCTCTTCAAGTGGCGCCACCGACGTGGCAACAGCCGACAGCAACGATATAGCCGCCAGGTTTAAAACATTAAAAAAAATATTTCTAATAAATATTTAACCATAAAACTTTTATTTAACATAATTTTAATCTATATTAACTGAAAATATCCAATGAACCTAGAGTAATGTATCCCTTTAAGTACAGTTATAGGTTGGCTGGCATGTCCCCTCATGTAGCACGAGAGCTTTATTGGTGCGCTGTATAAATTTACCTATCTGCCCAAACAAGATATCCACACCCTCTGGACATTGCCCGGTCTGTCAGGCTAGCCCGAGTTGTATGTATTTTTAACGCATCATGTCAAATTATCAGGTTTGTGGCACAACGTTACTAAGCAGCATTTTGTAGCAGCAATTGATACACTGTCTAAAATGGCTGCAAATGTTGAAGGTGATTGGTCTCTAAATTTTATGTCTACTACATATCACTGTATGAACGTTTGTTTTCCGATAACATTCCTTTCATGGTAAAATGGCAATTTTTACAGGAATTTCTTGAAGAGTAATTTTCCTTTTCTTCTAGCATTCATGATTTCAGGGCAAAGGCCCTTAACCTCAGAAACAAATTACACTCATCTGTGTAACAATGATAGCTAGAGCAGTTTTTGAAACTGTTGCTACCACATCATTACGTTTTAATTTATCTTAAAATGAAACTACTCTTAACGTTAGCCTGAAATCACATAAACTAATTTTATCCGATTTTACGTCAAGAATATGGGCAAAAAACCTGACTCGATCTTAAAATGAAACTACTCTTAACGTTAGCCTGAAATCACATAAACTAATTTTATCCGATTTTACGTCAAGAATATGGGCAAAAAACCTGACTCGCACATGTAGCCGCACTTTGCACCTTTGACACTGAAACCTGAATATATGGATCTAAATACGACTCACTCGAAATTGACACGAGTAATAAGTCGTGTTTCTTTCCCACAGAGAACGTTGAGGGCAAAGCGATGATATGAGCAGTCGTCACCCGCACGTGCGCGCACGAACGACGCGTTGGTTGTGATGCGCGCATGTGCATGACGTTATGTTTCTGATTCAGGGCTCGGAGCACAACGAACAGCCGCGACCGCCATCGCCCGGAATCGCTCACCAGGTGTCCTCGTCGTCGCTCGTCGGCCTCGAGCAGCTGCTCAACAACAGCGACGACAAAATGAGTGGGTTGCTCTCCTCGCGACACGCGAGCTCTGTTGAATTCTTTTTGTCTGCGAAAGGTCATGGGTTACTGTTCACGTGTCGGTAGATCGCGTTCCCCCGATGATTTGACGGCTATTGCCTTTCGCTATAGACAGCAAGTAGAGAGCGTCGAAACAAAGTATTAAGAAAAAAGAACAAACAAAGAACAAGAGACTACAAGTATTGAACACAAAAATGCAATGATCCATGTAGTTACAGTAGGGATGTGCGCAGGCCAAAAGCTAAGTTGTGTATGTGTAAATGTTATGTACCTTATGTGTGTTATATCTCATGCTATGTTAGTGATTTGTCATAGAAAACATTGAGCGAAGACATTCACTGATACAATTTGAAAACCGTTTATTCAAAGAAATATTTCTCCTCTGAGTCTGAAAGAATGTCATGTACATGACTGGGAAAATCTTTATAGATCTGAAGGTTTTTGTTTCTGGCCCTTTCTTTTCCTCTCTATCTCTCTGTCTCTCTCTCTCTCTCTCTCTCTCTCTCTCTCTCTCTCTCTCTCTTCTTCTTTTCCTGTCCTCTGCTTTTCCTGTCCTCTGTATTTCTACCTATTTCTCATC